GCTACGGCCCCGCCACCAGGAAGTGATCCTCTTGCAGTCGGCTCCATGTGACACAAACACAGTTTGGTGCCCATCACCTGGTGACAGCCCGTTCCAGCTGGGGCCAGAGGCCTGACCTTGGATGTCTCCAGGACACAGAATCGAAGCTTGTAACATTGTACACACACGAAGAAAGTGGATGGAGGAGAATTTCTGTCCCTCTCCTAACATTAGAACTTGTGGACATCCAAATGAAGCTGAATATTGGGAGATTCAGGAAAGAGGGACGTCTGATAAGGGCAAAATGGGGTGTGGTACTTAAACTGTCCCCCAACGTTGCTAGCCCTGGGGGTTTGGAGTCTGTCAGGTTCAAGCAAGAGACCACAGCCAGGCAAATGGAAGCCAAACAGCAGCTAGGAAGCCAGGATCCTTCCTTGTTGCAACAAGGTTCCCGCTCCCCAGCAAAAGAACAAAGATGCCCAGAACAAAAGGCTTCTTAAAAGTTCCCACTATTTCCCATAAGATAGGGTTACCAGACGTCCCCGGATTTGCAAATCTGTCCCTGGACAAATTCCGTTCCTGGAATGTCCCCGGATTTGCAAATCTGTCCCCGGGAAACGTGGCAGCGGCAGCCTCAGCAGCCCGGAGCCAGCCTGGTAGCACAGTTGGCTCTGGCTGGCTTCAGGAGCTGCTCACTGGCGCCCGCCATTTTTCCTCTCTGGAAGTCCCCATATGATGTGTCTTGTGTGCAACCCATCATATGGGGACTTCCAGAGAGAAATATGGCGGGCGCCAGCAAGCAGCTCCTGAAGCCAGCCAGAGCCAACTGCCGAAGAGGAACCAGGGACGTCTGGCGGTACAGATCTCCTGCCCCCTTCCTCCTTTGTTTTGACTGACCGAGGGAGGCTCGGGAGTCACGGCCAGCTGTTGCCCAGTTTTTTAAAAACTGTATGTTTATGTTTCACAGGGTGTGAAAGAAGGGCTTTGCACTTTAATACAATATGCATGTGTGCTTGGGCCCAGGGTCTTTTGCCTCACCATCCCCACTACTGATTCCCTCTTGCTACTCAGCTTCAAAAAAAAATGTCCCCGGATTCATTGAAAAAAATCTGGTAACCATAGACATTTCCGCCCCTGTTTACACACACACACACACACACACAGGGGGCGGCGCTTGCTGTGCCAAGGCGAGATCCCTTCCACGTGCCACGGCCACTGCTGTGATAAGGAAGGCAGTTGGGGGGAGTTATCAGAGACTGTGGCAGCAGCGGCAGGAGGTGGCTGGCACCTCAGCACCCAAGGAAGAGGACAAGAGGCCGAGGAAGCCGTTCCGCAGACCCTCCTGTGCAGTCAGGTAAAAGAGACCCCCTGCAGCTGGGGGCAGGCAGAGTCCAGGGACCTCTCTGGCCGGGGCTGATCCTTTAAGGAGAGCCTGCAGGATCAGGCCAGGGGCCCTGCCAATCCAGCCTCCTGTTCTCACAGTGGCAGCCAGATGCCTCTTGTGCGAAACCCCCAGGAGCGACCCTCCCCTCTCGTCTCACAGCCTCCAAAAACTGGTCTGGAGGAGCATTTGCTGCCTCAGACTATGGAGGCCGAGCAGAGCCATCCGGCTAGAGGAGGGGGATATCAGTGAGGACCCACTTTTGCCCCCCCCCCGGGGGGGGTGAGAGCACCAGACCAAAAACAGGCCAGGGGACCCTTTGTCCGGCTCTTCTTGGGGTCACAGACCCCCAGCTAGAATGGGGAGCCCTTTGCCCATCTGGTGGCTCAACCCTGTTAAATATCAGCACTCTTTGGAGGGAAGGAAACTGCTTCTTATGCCGACAAGAAACGGCGTCAGGGAAGAGTTTCCGCAGCTTCCCTGCCATGTGCAGCCTGGGCTGCTGGTTAGTGCGGAAGCCACCCGCCCCCCCCCCCCACGGGCTGCATGAGGCAGGCAGGAGCCTGGTCCTGGCACTGCCAGCCACTCCCTGGGGCTGCCCTTGAAGAAGAAGAACCGAGTCACTTCCAAGCCTGTGCCAGGCAGGGCCCCGACTCCCCGCTCCCTGCCCGCCCTTGCCAGGCGCCACAAGGGCAAGGCAGCGCCTGGGCTGCTGCGAGGCTGCCAAGGGCAGGTCCTGGGTGGCCAGGAGAGGCAGCCAAGGCTGGGAGGGAGGGAGCCAGGGGTGGCATCAGGCCAGCCCCTCAGGGCATTACCCCTCCCTCCCAGCTCTTGTGGGGCAGGAGCACAAGGCCAGGCTGAGAAATATGTGAGGGGTGGCCTCGCTCCAGCTGGGGAGCCCCACTTAATCTGGGGGGCTTGTATCCAAGCTTCCATCTGGGTTCAAGGGCCTTCCTGCCCCCCCCCCGAACTAGCAGCATTCAGAGGTAGACTGCCTCTGGCCTTGGAAGCTCCCTTTAGCAAGTTTCCTAGGAACCCTATTTTGTAAAGGGTGCTGGGAATTGCAGGGGGCAGTTCCCAGGGTTATTTGGGCAGAGGGTGGGTGTGCCAGCAGTCCTCCCCCTTCACAGATTTCAGCCCCTAAGCCGGAGGCTCACCCAGCTGGCCTCCTCCGGTGCTGAGGAAGGCTTCGTGGCAGCCTTGGCCAACGCGGCGCCCTCTGAGCATTCCCAACTCCCAACAGTCTGAGCCATCGCAGCCGAATGATGCAGCGGCTGGTGGGAGCTGCCAGCCCAGAGCATGTGAAGAGTGCCCAGATGGCCAAGGCTGCCTTAAGACTTGGCCTCAAAGACTCCAAGGCGCCTTCTCCTTCCTTGGACCAGGGATTCTCTGAGCATGCGCAGTGGGTAGTGGCTCGCTGCTCTTCTCTGACTCACAATGCATTAGGACAGGCATAGGCAAACTCCAGCCCTCCAGATGCTTTGAGACTACAATTCCCATCATCCCTGACCACTGGTCCTGTTAGCTAGGGATGATGGGAATTGTAGTTCCAAAACATCTGGAGGTCCGGAGTTTGCCTATGCCTGCATTAGGAGCAGAAGAAGGGATGGTTACCCGGACAGAGATTGGGTCCCAGCCTCCCCCTTCCTAAAAAAAAGGAAAGTCTTTCTTTATGCAGCACATGGTTAGACTGTGGAACTCCCTCCCACAGGAGTCAATGATGGGAGAGAGCTATTGGATGGCTCCTAGCCCTGGTGACTCGACTCTGCCTCCCCGTGGCTGGGAATCGCAAGAGGGGAAGAGGCTCCCGTAAGGGGCATCTGGCAGGCAACTGGGGGCGGGGGGCTCTAGATGACCCCAGGTCCCTTTCAGTGATAGGCTGCTCGACCACATGGCCCCGATCCAGCAGCCGGGGTCTTAAGAGAGGGCTCCCCTTCTTGCCGGCCTCCCTGACCCCCGTCTCTCTCTCTCTCTCTCTCCCTCTGCAGGCTCCCGTCCCCGCCTGCGGATGGCGCTCTTCTCGCAGTGCCTGGAGCCCACCGGCTTCCTGCAGTCGCTGCGCTCCCTGGCGCTGGGCGCGGCCTCGCTGCTGCGGGGCTCGGCGACCCCGGAGGAGGCGGCCTTCGTCCGCCGCGAGCTGGCGTTGCTGGAGCGCGACCTGGCCGCCGGGCCGGGGCTGGCGCTGGACGGCGCGGGCGAGCTGGGCGCCTGCGAGGACGGCGTGTCGGTCGCCTTCGAGCAGCTGGCTCTGGCGGCGCGCGCCTCCGGCACAGCGTCGGCGGCGCGCGAGGCCGAGCTCTTCGTGGCCGCGTGCGCGCGCGAGAAGCTGGAGCGGCGCCTGCTGGCCGCCTGGCGGCGCGTGCAGGGCTGCGGGGTGGCGGCGGCGCAGCGCCCGGTGCTGGAGCGCGCCGTCGAGGCGCACCGGCCGCGGAGGCCCCAGATGGCGGGCGTGTGCCAGAAGCTGAACGCGCTGCTGGGCGCCGGGCTGCTGTGCCTGCTGTGCCAGGCGGGCCTCACCCAGCGCGACCCGGCGCTGCTGCTGGCCGTCTGGGAGGAGCGCGTGGGCGCCGCGCACCGGCGCATGAAGGAGGCGCTGGCCGCCTGCGCCCGCTACTTCCCCGAGCAGGCGCGCCAGGACGTCGAGCGGGCGCTGGCCGAGGTGCCCGCGGTGCCCCCCGGGCCGGCCCAGCTGGCATCCAGCGTCCTGCGCAAGCTGGAGGAGAACTACGACTGGCTGCGCTGGGCGGTGATGGCCTGGCAGGAGGGCGGCGGTGGCGGCGAGGAGGAGGTGCTGGCGCAGGGCAGCTTCGTGGCCGCCCGCGCCCCGGGGGGGCTGCACGTGGTGGCCTGCTATGGGGAGAGCCCCGGCGCCCTCGACCGCGCCCGCACCCACCAGCTGATCGGCGAGCTGGAGTGGAAGCTGCCCAACCCGCCCCCGGAGGTCTACGCCAGCCTGGAGGCCGAGCCGACGCGAGCCGCCGGCTACCTGGCCCGCCGCCTGCTGCAGAAGCTGGCCGAGGGCCTGGGGCCCGGAGTCACCCTCCTGGTGGTGCCCGGCAAGCTGGAGATGAGGAGCAGCTTCCCGCAGGCCGCCAGCCTCCGCCACGAGTACCGCCACCGCCTGGCCTCGGGCACCGTCTGCATCTTCGGCTGAGCCCCGCTGAAGGGAAGCCCTCGAATAAAAGGTCCTTTTGCTACGCCCAGCCTGGTCTCTTGCGCCCTCCCGCACTGATACTGAATCTGGGCCCATCTGGCGCCGTATTCCCTGCACTGACTGGCAGCAGCAGTGCCCCAGGGGTCTCTGCCGGCCCTTCCTGGCGATGCCACCGTTTGAACCCAGGACCCTCCCCTGCCCAGAGACAATCCTGACCTGGCCGCTCTCTCAGCTCAGGGGACTCGGCATCCAGAGGGGTGGGAGGGTGGGATACAGTCACATTCCCACAAATGCAGGTTGCCCTGGGAGGGGGGCATCTCTGGCACAGGAACCCGCCTTGACCCAAACATTTTGCAATGAGGAAGGCAATGAGAGGCGGACTGGGAAAGGGAGAGGGGGCGACTCTTGCTGGGATGAAGGTGCAGCAAACACATCACCTGGAAGCCCCCAGCTGTAGCCCCCCCCAACACACAGGCAGACGGTGGGCACCAGGCAGAGGCTTTTATTGGGTGCAGGTGGGTCAGGGCTCCTGGGGGGGAGCGTGGGAGCTGGTGGGTCACCTCAGGGCAGGAAGGGGCCCTGAATCAGAATCTATTATTACGGTCACAGACCAGTTCCGGGTCACTTACAATATCAGGAAAATCATAAAACACAACAAGGATACAATTGGGTATAAGAGAGATAATTCAGATATAGCGGCAGTTAAAAACATATATTAAATCTTGATCACTAAAATATAACCTACAATTATCATTTAAAACCTTAATCATTTTGGTAGTACAGCTTGTTCCCTAAGTTTTATGGCAGTCACACAGAGGAAGGGGCCCTGCTATTCATGTCTGGGGAGTGGGGCGTGGGGGGGCCCCCTTGCCCCTTGCCATGGGGCACCAGAAAACATCCGCAGCCGTGTTCTGGGCAGGCACGGGCCCCGGGGCCCCCAGGAGATGGTCCACACTCCTATAGTGGTAGAAGTTGGGCCCCTGGAAAAGGAAGACCCCCTGGGCGGTGCAGAAGGCGCTGTCCACGTGGTCGTGGGGGGTGGCCAGCGCTGGGCCTGGCAGGCGGGGGCTCCTCTGCAGGTCCACCAGCTTCATGGAGTTTCCTGGGGGGAGGAATCAGGTCAGGCCCCCGGTGCCAGTCCCTGGAGCTGCCTGCAGAGCCCCCAGCCCTCTTCTCCCTGCCCCCACCTCACCCCTCAACCATGCAGGGCCGTTCTGGGCCTCTGGAGGGAGAAGACCCCCCCTCGCCTGGCCAGAGACCCCACCCAGAAGTGAGTGGCCATCTCCTGCCCACAGACGCGGCTGTGCCTGCCTGCATGTGAGAAAGCAGCCTGCCTGGGACTCTTGCCCGGCAGCGGGCTGGACTGGATGACCACTGGAGGCCCCTTCCAACTCAGCCATTCCAGGATTCCCAGGCCTGGGGGGCTCAGCGGCTCTTGCTTGCCTCGAGAGGAGTCCCCTGGAAGCTGCCCAACGGCAAGGAGAGTGCTGCTCCATCTCCTTCAGTGCTTTCTGCACAGGCTGGCAGCTGCTTCCCAGGCTTTCAGGCCAAAGCCTTTCCTCTCCGTATGTGGGGAGCTACGGCCCTCTTTCCTGGCACTGAGCACCCCCCACAATGCACCTGGGTCTAAGCACCTCCCGCTTTGCAGAATGAGGCCCTCCTCACCCCAAATACCTTGAAAGACGTAGAGGTCGCTGGCCTGAGGGCAGGTGAAGGCCGCATCCACGCCCGGCAGCCCCAGCTCTTCCTGCAGAGGCCGGGGGTAGCCCTCCACACGGCTGTAGCCAGAGCCGGCCCGGAAGATGGTGACCTCAGAGCCCTGCGGGCGAGAGCAGGAGGGGGAAGCCGCCAGTCCCACAGGGTGGGGGGCCCCAGCCGCCTCCCAGCCCCTCAGGCACCTTCCGCCTTCTGGCTCAGCTGCAGGGAATGGCAGGCGGGGAAAGCGGCTGCTGCCTGGCAGGGGTGGGATAGAGGACCTTTGGGGGTCCCTGCCTTCCAACTCTTCACTTCTGGGATTCTGTGCTGAGCTGGGGTCCCCCTCGGGGGGCTTCCCATAATGGCTGCTGTGGGGGCAGCAGGCTGGACTGGGTGGGCCCCCTTTGGCCTCAACCAACAGATGGGCTTTTCTGGGGGGGTTTCAGTGAACAAAAGCATAGCTGCATTTCTGTTCCCCAGTTGCACCATGGGGGTGTCCATTTTTGAGCCTCCCTATGGGAAGTGTGGTGGCAGCTGATGGGGAGAGATGGGCCAGAAGCTTAATACTCGGAGGGGGCACCTGCCTTCTGGTGGGCAAAGGAAGAGGAATCCCTATGTAGCAGTTCACTCATCCTATGAGAGGTTAGAGACCCCCCCCCTTGAGACTCCATGGCTCCCTCGGACCTCTTAGGCCCCGTCTTCTGGCCAGACCACAGAGATGGGGGACAGAGCTGACCCCTGCCCTCCCCCAGGGCTGGCACCCGTTCCCATATTCCTCCTGATAAGGGAGGTGTATCTTCCCCCCCCAGCTGCCCTGCCCCCCATACCTGGATCAGGTAGAATTTGTCCTCCCAGCTGAAGGCGGCGTCCACATCCCCCTCCAGGCCCTTCCAGGTGTGGCTGAGAGGCCAGGCATGCCAGCCGTCGCGCCAGGAGTCCACGCGGAGATACTGCCCCCCTGGCAGGAGGGGAAATGGAGGGGGGCTTCATGCCTCCAGCTCCCTGGGGGGGGGCAGCCAGCCACCATTTGGGTTCCACTTGAGGGTCTCCAACCTCCCCGGGGCTATGAGAGTGGAAGGGGAGCCCCCCAACCCTCGCCCTCCCGTCCCAGCCTGGCCCAGCCCCCTCCTCTGACAGCGAGCCCCCTGTTGCCCTGACCCCCATGATGCCAGGGGGTCCCCGCTTGCTCACCGCGGAAGGCATAGATGCGCCCCAAGTCGTCCGAGGAGAAGGCTTGGAAGGGCTCCCCGCTGCAGGGGTCCATGGCTGCCCGGAGGGTGGCATTGGCCTGTGCCTCGTGCCCGTGGCCTGCCAGGGGTCAAGGGGAAGCAATGCAGAGAGAGAGGAGCTGAGAGCAGAAACTCCCGGGGGGGGGATTGGGGCCTGAGAAACAGCTCTGTCCATGGGCAAAAACAGCTCCTGAATCTGACTGCCCCAGAGCCACAGCCGGTGCCCCAGAAGGGCAAAGGCTGCCCCCACTGATCCCCCACCACAGGTGAGACAGTATCTTTGTCTGAAGTCCTTTTCCAGGTGAAGCCGCCGCCCCATCTTCATCCATGCGCAATTTGGCCTGTTCCCCTGAGGGCTGTTTGGCGGGGGGGGGGCCTTGCAGATGCCCCCCACCCTGGGGCCAAAGGCAATTTGGACTGTAAGCAAGTTGGCCCAGGGAGAAGCAGCCACAGGCCTCTCGTGCTGCCCCCTATGCCAAGGCCTGGAGTTGGGCTCCAGAGGGGCTCCCCGCTGAGCTCAGCCCATGCAGCCTCCCCACCCCGGCCTACGGGCCGTCCAGCTGGCTGGGCTGCCACAAGCTGCCAGGCTGAGTGGGCATCGCAGGGCAGTTGCTCCTTGCCGGCAGGCCCTGCACAGCTGCCCCAGCCGGGACCTGCCACTCGGGGAGAAGGGTGCCCAGGCGCCCTGGTCTCCCCAAACCACAGCTCCTCGCAGCCGCCTTTGGCTTCTGTGGACTCTGGCACAGCACATCTTGCAGGAGAGGAGGGGCTTTTTGCTTCTGGCACCTCCAGATTCCCTCTTTGCCGTCTCCTCGCATGCAAGACCAGCCCCACAGGGGGTTGGGAGGCTCAGTGGGGCTTGCGCCTGCTGGCTTGTGGGGAGATAGATGTTCCCTTCTCTGAGCACCCCAAGCACAGCAGCAGGGATGTGGGGGAGCTCACCTCTTCCCGGGCAGCGCATGAAGTAGTCCTGGCATCCCGCGGGTACTTGGGGGGCACCTCGCCCGTGACGGGGTCGAAGCGCAAGAACTGGATGCCCTGGAAGCAGTAATAGCGCTCCAGCCAGCGCACGGCGGAGGAGCAGTTGGCCACGGCCGGCCAGGAGCGCTGCTTCACCATCCCGGTGGCCAAGTCGTAGGAGAAGACCAGGGGGCCTGCGGGAGACAGAGCAGAGAAGGGGGCTCAGCGGCTGACGCCTCCATGCAAGTCAGGCAAACAGAGAGTCCTAGAATTGCTGAAGTTGGAAGGGATCCCCAAGGGGCATCTAGTCCAACCCCCTGCAGTGCCCTGGTCTCCCATCCAATGCGAAACCAGACCGGACCCTGCTTAGCTTTGCAAATGTGCCGGCAGTTCTACTGCTGCACCACTAGGAGGCGCTCATGCTCAAGTCCCTTGTTGAGCATCTGGCTGGCGGCTGCGAGAAGAGGGTGCTGGGCCAATGGGACCCTTTGGCCTGATCCAGCCACAGGCCGGCTCTCCTTCTGACCCATGTGACACTCCATGGGTGTTTGGTGGAGGGCAAGGGGAACCATGGGGCAGGGTCCAGGATGCTCAGATTCCTGCCACCAGACCTCCCCATTCATGATGTAATAGTGATGTAGTTTGGGGGGGGTGTAACATGGGGATTAGCAGCTAATAAATGTTTGGGGGCTCTGTTGTTCTGGGCTTCCATCTTGTTCCACCTGGTGACCGTCTTCAATCAAGACCAATTTGCCTCTACTATTCCTGGCCGCTGTCCTTGTTTTTTTGTCCAAGGGAGCCTCAGACTTCTCCGTTAACATGGGAGGCGGCTGGCCAGAGTAAGCTCTGTCCTATCACAATAGCTATATCTATGCTGGTCCCCAAATCCAGAGGCTGGACTTGAAAAGTGTTTCCTTGGCTCTGTGGGATTGTTCAAAAGGTGCTTGTTCCTCACCTGGGTGACCAACAAGGTGGCACAGAGGTGAATTCTCCCCACGCTGGGAGGCCGCCATGGCCGCTCTGTTGGCGGCAGGGGGGGCTTGGAGCCACGGATCCTGCCATTGCAGGGGTTGGGGAACTAGAGGACCCTCTGAGGGGTCACCTAGTCCCCCGCCAGGACCCCCTTCCTTCCCAGGGGGCATCTGGCCCCTCCTCCCTGGAGCCCCCCCAGGAGACACGATCACAGCATCACCCTTGAAAGCAAGAGGACTGGTGGCGGCCGCGCAACTCCTGGGGTGGACACTGGCCACAGCGGCATCCCAGGGGCCCCGGCACCCCTCTGAACTCTTCCTCGATGCGCCGGGGAAGCCGGGCCTCAGCTTGCCCTGGCATACAAGCCCAGACCCACGGGCCTGCAGGAGACCAGGGCACACCCTCCATCTCAGCAAGGACCACAGGGTGCAAAAAGTGGCTGCCCCACCGCCTCCCCTTCCCATGGGTGGGGCAGGCTCAGTGGGAGAGAGAGCCCGCCCACCCCACTTGCCTCCGCATCCTGCCCCTGGCAGCCCCCAGTCCCCGTCCCCACAGCACTGGGGCTGCCCCACACCTTCCCATCCAGGGGCACCCAAGAAAGCACCCGCTGGCTGGGAGGGCCCTCCTGCCTTGCAGATCCGCTGCCCCAGGGAAGGTTAGGGGTTCTTGGTTGGGGGGCAGTCACCCCCTGGCCCGACTGTGTCTGAGCCCCCCACCGTGGAAGAGGTAGACGTGTCATGTGGGCAACCGGCTGGTCCAGGTTGGTGGATCCTCAAGGGCGGCATCGAGGCGGCCCCTGGAGTCTGGGGCCAGGAGGCGTTGAGGGGCTCGGCCGGCCCACTGAAGCCCTTCCAGACCACGTCCCCTGGGGAGGAAGGGGAGACTCAGGGAGAGGCACCTGCTGGGGCCCACGGCTGAGCTCCAGGGGGGCTGACCTGGCTTCAGCAGCCCCTAGGAAAGCATCCTTTGGTCAGCATCCTGACCTTCCTGGGCCCACATCTCACAGAGACCTCCCCATAGCAACCCCTCGGCCAACCCCCTCCTCACACCATGGGAAGAAAGGGGGTGAAGGCAGTGGTGGAGGGGGGCAGAGAGCAGACAGGGGGGTGTGGCTGATGCGTGTCACGTCCTGTGGTGCACCGCCTGCAGGGGCATGGCAGCCAGCGGGGGGCAGCCGTGATGGCACCCCATCGGGATTGTGCCACTGGGGGTGGTGCACCGCCCCTGCACCCCTCTTCCTCCGCCAGTGGGTGCAGGGAGACGGGTGCGAGGTGCAGGCTACCTTTGAAGAAGAGCATGTTGCCTCTCTCGTCCAGCGTGATGGCGTCAAAGCCTTCCTCGTTGGCACAGCGCCTGGCGGTCTCTGGAAGAAGCAGAGAGCATCGCGATAGATCACCAGTGAACCATCGCGATGCACCGATATCTCACGAGGTCTGAGATAAGGATGGGGCTATGGAGAGGCCCTGGCTGCATGGCTTTCCCCACATGGTGATTTTTGCATAGCGCACACAAACACATCATTATTCGCGATATATCGCCAGGTCAAAAACTATAAAAGCAAAATCATGATATGGACTTCAAACCAGTTTGGGATGATATATTTGGGATGATATATTGATATACCAGCCAGCCCCGTGCCCCCAGAAATGAGAAAAATGCCAAAATGTACCCTCAGAAAGTGGTGGGCACAACCAGTGCCTGTCAGAGGGTTTATTTGGCTGCGATTCCCCACTTGATGACCCCTGAGTCCCTCCCAGCTTTGCAGTTCTCTGATTGTCTGCATCGCACCAAGCGGGGAGTGGGGCAGGGAGACAGAAGGGGGTGCCCAGAGCAAAGGAGGAGAAGGACCTCTGGAGAAGGTGCCCATTGGCAAAGCCCACCTGTGTCGTTGAGCGGAGGCTGTGAGGCCGAGTGGTGCCAGCTGCTGCCGCCAGTGCCATTGAACTTGCTGCTCCCGTGACCCCTGCCAAACAGAAAACCCCGGTTAGCAGCTGGCCGTGGGTCTCTGCAGCAGCTGTGGGGCCCCAGCAGGGATGCTCTGGCGGAAAGAGCCCACTGCCTCAGGTCAGCTCCCAGAAGAGGACATGGGGGCACAGTGGAGGCTGCTCCAGGGGGGTCTAGGGAGAGAAGACCCCCGCAGCAGAGCCACCCCCCTCCTCTCCTTGGGCCCAAAAGCTGAGCCCTTCCTCTGCAGCCTCCTCAACTGACAGGCCTGCAAGCATAGCAGGTTGCCTTAGTCAGACCACAGATCCATTTAGCTCTATAGTGCTCACACCGGCTGGCAGCAGCTCTTCAGGTGGAGGGTCTGGGAGACTTCTGCCTTTGGGGATTGGATCTGAGACTTCTGCATGCAAGGCAGGTGCTCTCCCACTTAGCCACCTCCTTCCTCCCCCGGGACGAAGGCCCAAACAGAGCCCCTGCCCCATTCCTGGCACTCACAGGGGGTGGGCCAGGGCCAGGGCCCAGCTCAGGCAGAGGGCTCCCAAGGGGCTGCGCATGATGTGCTGCAGTCCGCAGCAGCAGAGCCCCGAGGCCAGGCCCTGTCACCTCTTATATCAGCAGAGAGGAGGGATTTCCCAGCCCAGGAGAGTTGCACAATCCGCACTCGGATTAACTCTTTCCGCAAAAGGCCTTCGGGGCAGAGGCTGCCTCT